GAGTTTGGAAGGCTCTATAGATGGCAAGTTTGACCGCGCGGCGGGTTTTCTGAATCAATATGATATCGGGGGGAGTTTGGAGGGACTGGAGGCAGTGTTAAAGATAGCCACGCTTCAGTCGGAAGCTGTGGTAATTCCATTGCCAGATAGTGGTTTGGTGCCTACTGAGGCGTGGCGGGCGTGGGAGAGGTAAAGCCATATTGAGGGATGCACTGTTAGAGGTAGGGTATGGATGGTGGGGGTGGTGGAGGAGTTTAGGACCCCAACTGGGATGAGATGTTGGTGAGTTGGTTTATTTGACTGGTGAGTTGGGCCAATCTGGAGGAGTACTTTGAGACAGCGTTTTCTATCGCCGTACAACGGCTGTAACGTTTTGCTCTAAGGTTTGCAGTCTGGCACTGAAAATGCGAGACATTTCGGTCATTGACGCTGAGTCGGTGTAATTTGTCTACGATTTTGAGGCCATAGTATTGATTACTCTACGCTTGACAGACTGGGCGGTGCTGTCAGGTGAGGATATGGCAACTGCAACGGGTAGTGGGGGAGGAGTAGGAGTGGGCGCTGGAGGGGTAGGAGTTGGCGCTGGAGGGGTAACCTTTCTGTTTAAGGAGGGGTCGTAAGTCTGCATTTTCCTTCTAAACGGCAGTGATTTATTGTGTGAGGGTTTGGACCTTTTGCCGTAGAGTTTGGACCTTTTGCCGTAGGGTTTGGACCTTTTGCCGTAGAGAGGGGCGGTGATGAGAGACATCCGACGGGCAAGGAGAATAGCCGGGTCGTGATTGCAGTCGATTAGGTATTGGCTGATGTTCTCCGGTGGACCGTAATCTGGCACATTAAAGATGATTCCGCGTGAGATCTTCGCAGGATTTGCCATATATGTGGCCAGAAAATAGTTCTCTTCGCCCTTCAGAGGGGGTGCTGAGTAGTATAGTTTTGAATGGCATTGATTCGAATTTTATCATCGCGTGCCACGTTGTAATTGGTCTGGGCAGTGTTAAAGACGAAGTCTTGCAGCTTGCCTGTGCTCATCGAGCTTAGGTTGAGGCCACCACGTGCACGGATGATGATCTTGTAGTAGTCAGGGAGTCTTGCGAGCTGCGGCGGGCGCGTCTTGAAGCCAGGCCTTGGCGAGCTGCGGAAAACCGGACGCCAAACGCGCCTCGCCGCTCGACTTGGTCGTTTAGGTCGCCATCCGTTGTTTACCCTTGCAAGTTTTTTAGCCCTATGTTTTGCAGAAAGGGAGCTACGCTTTGTAATTTTACAAAAACCAACCTGTGAAATATACCTTTGACACAAAGTTCAGATTGCTATGTGCAGGCGCCAATTTTTATGGCCCATTTTAGATCGAGCCTGGTTATTTCAGTCACCCTATACTTACTGCCAGGTTGGATCACATTGGCATCTTATTAGCCTTCCTTTTCTTCACTTGGCTTTTACTAGTATGCTTTCACAAAAGTAGGAGTGAGGTCCTCGGTCGACTTCGGCGCGAACCTTAGGATGAGAGAAAATGGCAAAATGGCCCGTTTCCCGCCTTTCATGTACTTTATGTACCCGTAGATCATTGTGAACACTACGAATTAGTTTTTAACCTCTAGGTGGTAGTGGAACGACTGGTTGGCAAGAAGCTATCGAAGGAACAAGCGAAAGTGAGAAACCAGAGCAGCCAAGGCGAGCAATGCTGGCGACACGCACGGAGTGACAGCGGATTGGATCTCGGATTGGATTGAAAGTGTCAAAGACAGTTGGTTGTAAATTAGAACGGAGCAGTAACTTGTTACCAGTATAGGGTTGTTGCACAATACCATGGTTCAATGCTGCTACCTCTTCGTGGATCTGATCAAAACCCACTGGAATCCATGTTGGAGGCATTCATTGCTGTTATCCTATGTTTTGTGTCCTTTGGGGCCTTGTCTGCATGGTACTTTGTGCACCCACTCGAGGTTGAAGACAGTCAGTTGCTCTGTGATTGTTTTAGCCGTAAAACTTGGTGTCAACGGAGCCACGGCCAGCAATATTGGTTTTTCTAGAATTCCGGAAATCATTAGGAACCAGGACAAGGCGACGCTCGAGCAATCGGTTTGCCGACATTATGAATGGCTCCCAACGGACACGCCGGCACAACCTCAACCAGGCGGGTAAAGACAGGAGTAGAACACGGCAAGTCCTGGGCGCTAACATCTCCAGTCCCGAGAGAAAGAGCGAAAAAAGGCAGAGAAATAAAGCAAACAAAAAGTTAGGCGTGTTCGTTTTGCCGCGACAAGTTGAAGTTGCTCGAGCACTTGTCAGGTTTATTTAAATTTATCACTGCGCGACTCCTGTGTTCTTCTGCAAAGACAGAAAATAACAAGGTAAAGACTTTACTGGTGATGTTTGGCTGCATCTTGGTGCATATAAAGGCCTCGGCAGCGATAGGGCTCATCGAAATCGCGAACTGGGACCGCCGATCTCCGCTTCTATGTTCCGCCATTTCGAAGCGGCCAAACGCAGGGGACCTTTCGTTTCGGATTATTATGTTAACTCTACACTCTTAAAAAAATAATTAAAAAAGGAATGGACGGGTGTTGACTGTACTCTTTTTGGAGAGAATCCGGGTTATCGCAAGCTATACTCTCTCTAGGGACCAGGAATATGAAAAATACATGCAAATATGTATCAAAATACAAATACAAAAATACTTCGTCAAAAATGTATTTAATTACGAGTCTAATTACATTTAAAAAAATTGCGGTGGCTTAGCTCGGCTATGCCAGGATATACGCAGCGTGAGCTTAGGCGCATAAAATGAGAGGTGCTATCAAGCAGCTCCGGTGCAGCGTCAGACTTGGCTACTGCGCAACGGAGGCACATAGCTGGGCACGCGGCGCCGCCAGTGCGTCTGCCGTGGCTGTGACGTCACTCCTCTGGAATGCGAAGACTGGCGAGGCGAGCGCGGTGGCGGCGGATCCCGCGGCGAATTGGCCTCCGCCCCGCCAGCTGTGCGCCGTGCGACGTCACTGCTCCTCGCACTTGCGCAGCACGGAGCATGGCTCATTATGCCAGCCACGCGAAACTGCTCAATTTCGGCCAGTGTAGCTCACGCTACAAAAAGCATTTAAATACAAGATACAAATACAACCAAATGTATTTGTTCTCTTCCAAATACTTTTCTAAATACATTCCTCAAAATTTGCGAGAGCGACTTCAGGGCACCTGCAACGGGTTTCTACGTATCTCTACGCACACTCTGGAGTAAGTTAGCGAGGCTCTAGTAACGTAATAGAAATATAATCACAAAAAAATGTAATCAGCTTGGACGTAATAGGTGAAAAAGTACAGAGCCTCTAGCAGCTTTTTTTGTCGATTACATGTTGGTATATACCAACAAAGAACCGAGACGACCAAGACACGGAGCACTAGCTAAAGAATTTTTTATTGTTGCAACTCGCACCAGTTAACGAAAATCTGGACGACACGCGCATTTAGAATGTTCCAGGCAAAATTATGGATGGAAATCAGGCTGGAAAGCATCACAAGTTGTCACAGGCGCTTATTTAGCCAGTCTGCCTGTGAACGTCGATTTCATCACTATTCTTGCCCTGGACTAGCACCGTAATCACAAAGTCACTAAACGCTTGTGCTTGATTAAGAGACACTGCATTCGGTGCAGAACGTAGTTTTCTTTCTGCTCTGGACAGTGCCAATAAATTTGAGGGATGTATTTTCGCCCACAAAATTGTATTTAATTACAATTGTATTTGAAATACCCACCTTTTAGTATTTAAATACACACGTCAAATGCATTACCCAATTTGTAATTAAATAGAAATTCAAAATACACAAAGTATTTGAAATACATATTTCAATTACTTGTATTTGAAATACCGCCTATCCCTGCTAGGGATAGGTAATCGTTACCTTTCCACGACTAGTGTATGTTTTACTCTCCCATACGAGTGCTCACTTAACTTTTCTATAGTCACACAAATGGTTTTGCAAGAGTCAGGACTGTCTACAGGTTTTGAATTTCAGAGTTTGGTGCATTATTTTAACTGCCCTTTTTTGCTCCTAAATACAATTGTTTAAGCGACAACCAGTCTGTTGTATGTAAGAAAAAGTGTTGCCTGAACTCTGTACTAAAGAGTTAAGCACGCTCTCCAGGAAGAGTTATTGTAACCTTAGAAGTGGTGCCTGCACTCCGTATTAAAAAGTTTAGTGTGCTCTATAGCAAGAATTAATATTACATAACAGCAAACTTAGCAGTTTATATGATCCCTTCCTGGAGACTGCTTTACTCTTTCATACAGAGTTAGGCAACACTTGAAGTGGGGATTTAATTACTCGCACTAAAGAATTTTGTAGAGTAAGTACAACCCCATTTGGAAGTGTTGCCTAAACTCAGTATTAAACAGTTAAGCACACTTTCCAGGAAGGGTTCACACGAACTCTGCTCAAGTATAGTGTTATGTGCTGAGTGTAAAATCACCCAGTAAAAAGTAACGTAAATGCCTGCTAACAGAATTAGGGGAAGGGAAGTGTACAATTGGCTCCTTGTTAGTCAAACGTTTGCTGAAACAAAAAAAACTCTACTGGCAAGTGGCATTTTTAGCCTGTTGAAGTGCGACCACTGTACTTTTATTTTTGCAGCTGTTGTATCAAATTTCAATACCTCCCTTGATTTCTCTGTAATGTGGAATAGTACTTCTGTCCTTATTATGGGAGCTGCTACATACAACTTGAGACAACTCAAGCACTTTGCAATGAACAGTAGCCCTAAAATCTAAAAGCAGCTATGTATATGTTCACAAGGGGAGGGTTGCATTGGAAATGTGGAAGTGCAGCTGAAAAAGGACATAAAAGAGGGAGCATGAGCCTGTTCGGAGGCCATAGGTTTTCATGAAAAGTCAGCATAGAAAGGATAAAAAAGTAGAATAGAGCTCAATAAGCCAACACTTTAATGTTAGGACATGGGAAAAAAAGGCAAAAATGGCACACATATTCCCTCTGGTGAACAAGTTTCTTACTTTGTGATGAGATCCAAAGCCAAGGCAGACTTTATATCGTACTTCAAATCAATGAAGTGCCCAATCCGTCCGTCACCTCAAATAAGTGGTTCTCCAACACCGCAGTTATGGCCTTTGAGTCCTCTTTGTCAATTCGCATCAGCGGATAGGTCAATCTGTCGTGTCGGTCCTCCTGTGAAGAATGAATGCTTAAATGTAGACTCAGCACTATGAGAAGGGAGGAAGCAACTCACTAAGTGTAGAAGGGTATGCACTTGGGCTAGTTGGTGATCCATATTTCCGAGGGAAAAAGCGCTAAAAACAATGAACAAGTAGAAGTGTTGTTGGTTTCTGTTACTTTTCCATTGTTTTTAGTCTTTTACCCTCGGATATATAGCTCGCTAAGTGCCCTTAGTTAATAGGAGTGCATTCATTTGTAAGACAAGAGACCATTTGCGAAAATCCCAGGAGCCATTCACAGGATACGTTCCAATAGTTGTCTGGTACTTGTTTTCTTGCCGATTAAACGAGAGTCCGAATCGAACACTTAGGCAGCACTCACTGCTGGCTCACTCAGCCGCAACTACCCACGACTGTTTGTATCCCCTCTGATATGAACATCTAAGAGAAAAATGAACCACATCTCTCTTTTTTTCCTTTGTATGCAGTGGCAGCCATAAGGGGTTGCATTTATTTATGGCAGGGAATCCCCAAGTTTGCATACCCTATTAGTGGCATCGGAAGAAGAGGGCAAGGCAAGGGGGGCAATTGCCTCGCCCTCCCGCTTCTCTCTGAGTGACATTTTAAACTATTATAGCAGACAATACGGGAGACAGGGACGGGGTTTAGCTCCCTAGCACATCACCCCTCCACCTTCCAAGCAATACAAACTCAGCTGGCTCCTGCCCATAGCGATGAAAGTCATAGCTCTATATAGACTAGCCTTAGGGGTAGGATGAATGGAAGTTCTTAACTTGAAACTTGAGATCATGTCCGGTTTTTAGTTTTGAAGGCGTGAGGTCGCATCCATGGATAAGGACATAGGGGGGCTCCGAATGCGGCCGAAGCGCCACCGGCTTTCACACCCGAACTCCGACCAGGCAGCGTTAGCTTTATATGAACGGCGGGTGCTACGGCCGGGGACGCCCCGGGCACGTGACGGTTAGTCTCCCCTCTGGCTAGGTCAACGAAGGCCACCTGGCTAAACCTGCTCTCCGCGAACCCCCTCTCAGCAAGGCCCCCCGGACAGCCCGACGCGCACCACGTATGGCTACCTTGGGCCCGACTTCCTTCGTTCACCTAGACACCGGCGCGGCCGCGCCATCGCCCCCAACCCCATCCCGGTGTCCGGCCGACTATCCGCCGACCCTCTTGGTCCACACCGACATACGAAGGGACCAAGCACCCCGCTGGGCCAGGAGTGACAGGCACGAGGAGATCGGGGGGTATGATATTGCCCCCGATCCGCTTAAGGCAGGCCATGGCAGCTAGGGCCACCTCCTCAGCCGTCCGGGAATAGCCCATCGGAAACGCCTTTGAAAACTTCTCCTTCTGCTCTTCGGGAGAGCCAGCCAGGCGGCCTCACCGTCTTCGCCTCCTCGGAATTTGAGGCTCTCCGCCGGAGAGAGCGAGTTATGATTTTTGGCGACAAGATCCCTGACATTGAACGACAAGGGCAGGATCGGGCAGCCCCCCTCCTGATGTTTCCCCGCCGTCTGCACCAGCCGGAGCAACGGGTCCCAAACGAATGGGGCCCGCGGCGGCGGCTTAGGGCTCCTCTCGACCGCGAGACTCCGACAGTCTCGCTATGACGTCGAGTCTGCTGTACCCACTCGGCCGGGAAGTCTGGTATGTCAACGGTGGGACCGTTGATACATTTAAACAAGTCGAAGGTCCCGACCACCTCAAGTTGATCTCCCTTCCACGTCACTGCCAGACCCCGCTGCGTGGCCACTGCCGACAAGGTCGCGCGAAGACCTTCCTTGGCCTCCCCAATGTCTGGCAGCGTCACGGACCCGCGTTTGCCAGCAAAGAAGTCGTCAACCGAGATATCGGCCAGGACTGGGTCTGGTAGATCCGGAAAGACACGACGCACTCTGTGAGTGCCAAAGGCACGAGTTATAGTGGTGGACAAGGCCATAGGGTTAATGAGGCTCGGGTCGGCAACCCAAGCCGCTCTGGCCTCCAGCAGGTCCCTGATGAGCGGGTCCTGCTCTGCCTCAAGTGCCTCGACACGCTTAGCAAACAGATCATCTTCCCATGATCCTTGCAGGTCTATGATGCCAGTCAGATTGTTGGTGCAAAGGGGAGTCAGTGGAAAGCGCCGAGTGCTAATACGCGTGGACTCTACCAGACGGTGCCGGACAGCCCACATGACAGTAGCAAACGGGTCATCGTCAAGCCTGGCCGCATCTCGGCCCTCCACTGTTCTAAGTTCGACGGCATTCCCCTTCCCACGGAGAATGAGGCCATACTGCCTTTTGAGAAGAGATTTGAAAGAGAACATGGGAGTTCTTAAAAACTTATTCAATGTCCTCTCTCTGAGACTCAACCACGAACGGATAAGAACAAAGCAGCCTCACGAGCAACAACTGTTCTAAACCGTAATTCGCGTAGATGTACGACGCTACCTCAAGTGCGTCCAGGATTTCTCTGGAACGTCCTTCTCCGACCCTTCTCCCACAGATCAGATGTCTTCGATATCGGAGGCCCCCAATTTTTAGATTGGGGCCTCCGACATCGGAGACATTCGGGGGATATCGGGGGGCATTCGTCCAATTGGTATACAATATGTTAAAAACGTTCTTAATATTTAATTAGTTTGAGCAACCTATTGTATTTCAATGCTGACTACCGTATATCATAGTTTATTTCACAACTTTAGAAGTTAGCAAATGCAGGTAACCTCTAAGTTTGGGGACACCATTGATTAAATATTGTAATTACAGCTCTACATGAAGCTAATTTACTATAAAGTACCATTAAACCTTAATAATATTAAAAAAAACTGTACCTACTGAAATTCACAAACTCAAAAAAAAAGAAGCAAAATAAATATAACAGTAGCCCAACCAAGAACATACAGCTTCGATTGGTCAGTGTTAAAAAAATTGAAAGAAGTGCCACATTCCAAAACAAAGCACGCATCGTGGCGAGCCCAAGCTGTGCCATAACTGAAACTACTAGATAGCTAGTGAGCTGCTCACATGCACCACTCCATCATGCATGTGCACAATAGATGTGGGCTCTGAATTTCTGATTTGCATGTGGCATGGACTGGTTGCACCACTCTGAAGGCAGGTGTGGGCACGCGCATTATGTGCCAGAGCGCATCCTTCAGTATGTCCAGTAATGCTGAGGTGAAGTTTGCCCAATAAGTTGAGTTTCTACATGGCTTCATCTGTTGAAAACTGCTCTGCCAGCATTTTGTGATGCTTTGTGTGTGTTCATCAAATTGAAGATTATATATTTATGTCAGAACCGCTGGAGCCTCCTGCTAAACAGGCGTGTTAGTTTTATGAAGGCAACAAGGGCGGCAGTGGCTCCCCGCCCCTGTCTACTCCCCCATCGGAAAGCAAAGAAAGTTCTGTTGAGAGCTGGGGTCTTAAGAGATCGGCAGAAGTTCCATACCATAATTCCTCGACAAGACAAGTTGCGAAGTCCTTCAAGATCATGAGGGTTTTGATTAGCTCCATGGCAGGAGCTGCAAGAACAGCAGTTTCCCTTGTTTAGTGAGCAAACATTATCTCCAGCAGTCACACTGTAATCAATAAATTGTTCATATGCAGTAAGGTTCAAGGTTCAAGGTGTTTAATGGCACAACTTCCACACAGCCGAGTGCCTGAGGCAGCCAAAAGGCAGAAGCCCATAGAACCAAGTGCTGGCTGCCTCCTCTCTTTCTCCCCAACTGGAACAAGTTTCTGCACTCTTGGCATTCCTAACTAAGGAGACAATCAGGTCTTTATATGACTTTGATATGGAAACTTGTCATCAGTGTAAGATGGCGTGCAAAACGATGACACTTGAAGAGGAGCAGCCAGACGCTGAATCCTTGTATCCCTCACCATGGTCGCTGAGCAGGTGGCACCATGGTTACAACTGATCCTCGGCCACAGCAGTAACGGTATGACCTAGGACGGTACCCTGGACTAAAGGGTGTTCTGCTGCGGTTCGGATCCAGCTGTGCGGGAAATTTGCACCTTAGAGATTTCTTTTTCTAGGACAGGGTTTATGCATGTTGAAGCATGGCATCAGAAGTTGAGTTGTATCAAGAGCGTTGAGAGTAAGTGCTCGGAGAGCTTGTCCAGTTAACTTCTTGTCCCAGCATCTCAGCATGACTGTAATCTGCTTCAACATTAAAAATAAGTCTGTAGGTAAGTAGCTAAACATTCGGATGGTTACTAATCTGCTGCACCTCTTCTTTTTGTGGAGTGCATGACGACACTCAGCTTAAAAAGAGCTACTAGAATATGAAGATGCCATCAGTACAACGAGAATATGGTGAATGTAGGCATAACGGAATGGAAGTCCTTGTTACACCTGGTCCACAGATCACGGAAAGTTCGTCGGAGTGCTTTTCACTCTGAATGGCATGCACACGAACTCGCAAACCGAAAGGCATTGTTAGGCTCCTTTTGAATTACCAATGGCTTGTCTGGTATTGGTGCTAGGACTTACCAGATCGACCTTGGAAAATATGGCAAGCTATTGTTGAGCAGTGTAATGAAGGTGCTGATGCAAAAGAACTGTGTTTTTCTGTTTTGTAGCAGCTGTATGTGGCAGAACTACATCGTACAGCGCATGAATTATGTGCAAAACTAGCTTTTTTAAGTTGATGAGTATAATCAGTGCGTAGAACGCACACATTCATACATGGATATGTTAGCAAAAATAAAAACTAATGTCTCGTTGCAAGGACTCACACAAAAAGCGGAATTTGTTGAGAACCACATGTAAACTGGTAAAATCACTGCAGTACACTAACAACAACAAAAAAGCTATTTTTATGTTGGCACACCACGCTTCCTCCGCATTAAATTGTGCATACGACCGCTGCTGGAAATTCTGAGGAAAGCAGTCTGAGTAGCCACAGTCGGCAGCGACCCCAGACATGCTCAACGGGGTGCGAACCGGACCTGGATTGGCCTCGACATCATTGTCGTCGCACCCGTTTCGCACCCAGGCGGAGCCTGGGGCGCTCAGCACGTACTGGGCCGTGGCGGGCAGCTGGGCGAAGAGGCCAATAACAGCTGTACGTGTTGAAGTCTTGGAGAAAACACAGACGGCAAGCGTCGACGAGTGGCTTAAGGCTAGGT